GCGCGTCAACTTGTGAACTGCAGGACACATGAACATCGACATTTCGAACGCACATTGCGGTCCTCGGATACTGTTCCCGGACCACTCCTGGCTGAGGGTCGTATCAATTTAAAAGACTGCTCGGTTTCCTCTCCGATCTCTGTTCGCGTCGTCGTATTATCTCTTTATCCGAGAGACGACGACGACGACGACGACATGAGAGAGGAGAATGAAACGTCGGAGCGTGTTGGATGTAGACGCGGCGGTACGACGCGACGACGCTAGTTATTATATATTTATTTATGTAATATCGTAAACGTCGTCGTCTTTGTCGTCGTCGCGGCATCTCAAAACGCGAAAGCGACGATTCGTTCGTCATACGAACGAATCGTAAACTCACACATAGAACGAACACGCGCGCTGTACGGATAAAAATCGTAATAGCACTACATATATATATATATATATATATATGTATATATGCTGTAGTCGTTACGCGTTTCGAACTTGCGCTGCGATCGTCGTGTCCGAGAGAGAAATTATTTTTTTCGAGATAACGACGTCTGATCGCATATACGCGCTAAACACTAGAGAACGCTTTCGACTAGTAGTAGTATAGCAGCAGCAGCTATACGATTTAGTATTAGCGATCGCGTGTGACATATATATCTGTGTGTGGTGTTGTGTTGTATATTGTTAACCGACCTCAGAGCAGGTGAGACTACCCGCTGAATTTAAGCATATTACTAAGCGGAGGAAAAGAAACTAACTAGGATTCCCTCAGTAGCTGCGAGCGAACAGGGAAAAGCCCAGCACCGAATCCCGCGGTCGATATCGGGCGCCGGGAAATGTGGTGTTAGGGAGGATCCGTTTATCCCGAGGTCGCGCGGCGAGTCCAAGTCCTTCTTGAACGGGGCCACAGCCCATAGAGGGTGCCAGGCCCGTAGTGGCCGCTGCCGATCGCGGGAGGATCTCTCCTCAGAGTCGGGTTGCTTGAGAGTGCAGCCCTAAGTGGGTGGTAAACTCCATCTAAGGCTAAATATGACCACGAGACCGATAGCGAACAAGTACCGTGAGGGAAAGTTGAAAAGCACTTTGAAGAGAGAGTTCAAGAGTACGTGAAACCGTTCAGGGGTAAACCTGAGAAACCCGAAAGGTCGAAAGGGGAAATTCATTCGCGTTTCGGCCGTCGGCGATGAGCGGTCGCGCGACGGACGGCGTTCGCGCGTCGTCCGCGCCTTTCGCTTTTCGATCCGGCGTCGAACGCGTGCACTTTTCCCCTAGTAGGACGTCGCGATCCGTTGGGTGTCGGTCTACGGCTCGCGGTGGAGTCCGTGTACGATCGTTTCGGCGATTCGTGCTCGAACCCGCGATGTTCCGGCCGACTCGCTCGACGGTATACAGATGGCGCGAGGCCGCTACTTCTTCAATTAGCGTCCGACCCACGACAAGCACGTTCGATGCTAAGACGGCGATCGGACCTAGCGCCCGGTTCCGTCCCCGGACGACTGTTGGTCGTGCGGATTTCTCGGACAGACCTCGTTTGAAACGCCGATCTGCGACGCTATAGCTTTGGGTAATTTCAGGACCCGTCTTGAAACACGGACCAAGGAGTCTAGCATGTGCGCGAGTCATTGGGACATAACTAAACCTAAAGGCGCAATGAAAGTAAAGATCCGCCTAGCGCGGATTTAGGGAAGATGGGCGGCACGTCTATAAAGCGGCCGCTCCGCACTCCCGGGGCGTCTCGTTCTCATTACGAGAAGAGGCGCACCAAGAGCGTACACGCTGGGACCCGAAAGATGGTGAACTATGCCTGGTCAGGACGAAGTCAGGGGAAACCCTGATGGAGGTCCGTAGCGATTCTGACGTGCAAATCGATCGTCGGAACTGGGTATAGGGGCGAAAGACTAATCGAACCATCTAGTAGCTGGTTCCCTCCGAAGTTTCCCTCAGGATAGCTGGCGCTCGTCTGTGACGAGTTTCATCCGGTAAAGCGAATGATTAGAGGCATTGGGGTCGAAACGACCTCAACCTATTCTCAAACTTTAAATGGGTGAGATCTCCGGCTTGCTCGAACTAATGAAGCTGCGAGAATCGAATCAGAGTGCCAAGTGGGCCATTTTTGGTAAGCAGAACTGGCGCTGTGGGATGAACCAAACGTCGAGTTAAAGCGCCTAAATCGACGCTTATGGGATACCATGAAAGGCGTTGGTAACTTAAGACAGCAGGACGGTGGCCATGGAAGTCGGAATCCGCCAAGGAGTGTGTAACAACTCACCTGCCGAAGTTACTAGCCCTGAAAATGGATGGCGCTGAAGCGTCGTGCTTATACTCGGCCGTCAGCGGCATGTGCGGTCTCGATCCGCGTAAAAACGGATCGGCCATGAAGCTCTGACGAGTAGGAGGGTCGCGGCGGTGCGCGCAGAAGGGCTGGCCGTGAGGCCGTCTGGAGCCGCCGTCGGTGCAGATCTTGGTGGTAGTAGCAAATACTCCAGCGAGGCCCTGGAGGACTGACGTGGAGAAGGGTTTCGTGTGAACAGCCGTTGCACACGAGTCAGTCGATCCTAAGCCCTAGGCGAAAGCCGATGTTGATGTGGCGTTGTTTTATAAATATATGTATGTATGTGTGTATATATAAAGAACACGCCCGTCGGGCGAAAGGGAATTCGGTTCCTATTCCGAAACCCGGCAGCGGAACCGTACAATAGTCGGGCCCTCGCAAGAGAGTTCGTCGGGGTAACCCAAAAAGACCCGAAGACGCCGTCGGGAGACCAGGGAAGAGTTTTCTTTTCTGCATAAGCATTCGAGTTCCATGGAATCCTCTAGCAGGGAGATATGGTTTGGAATGCGAAGAGCACCGCAGTTGCAGCGGTGTCCTGGTCTTCCCCTCGGACCTTGAAAATTCGGGAGAGGGCCACGTGGAGGTGTCGCGCCGGTTCGTACCCATATCCGCAGCAGGTCTCCAAGGTGAAGAGCCTCTAGTCGATAGAATAATGTAGGTAAGGGAAGTCGGCAAATTGGATCCGTAACTTCGGGATAAGGATTGGCTCTGAGGATCGGGGCGTGTCGGGCTTGGCGAGGAAGCGGGTCGCGGCTGACGTGCCGGGCCTGGGCGAGGTGAAACGTTCTGTCGTATGCGTTCGCGCGTGTGCGGTAGGATTGCGGATCCGAACTCGGTACCGTGCCTTGGCCTCCCGCGGAACCGTCTTGCTGCGAGGCCCAGAGTGCGCTCGCAAGGGCGTTCTGGTGTCCTCTTCGGCCGCCATTCAACGGTCAGCTCAGAACTGGCACGGACCGGGGGAATCCGACTGTCTAATTAAAACAAAGCATTGAGATGGCCCCTGCGGGTGTTGACTCAATGTGATTTCTGCCCAGTGCTCTGAATGTCAACGTGAAGAAATTCAAGCAAGCGCGGGTAAACGGCGGGAGTAACTATGACTCTCTTAAGAGATTTGGAACGCAAAGCGGAAGTAGGGGGTTCAATAGCTCCAGGAATAAGGGTCCCGGCATTAGCATTTGCCGATGACCTGGTATTGCTGGAGGATAATGAATTGAACCTCCCGCTAACGCTTCGCGCTGTGTCTAAATTCTGCAAGTCCAGGGGGATGGCAATCAATCCCCGCAAATGTACGGCCATGGTAGCGCGCTCCAACAACAAGCGCATATACTATGCAAATAACAACATCTCAGTAGATGGCCACCGGTTACGCGATATCGGAGTAACGGACTCGTTTAAATACCTTGGACATGAGTTCAGTGGTACTGGTGTATTAAAGCCAAATAACTCCAACCTGGCAACATGGCTGCGTCGCGTGGATGCCGCACCTTTGAAGCCCGACCAAAAGGCTGGGCTTATCCGGGACTTTGTACTACCTAAAGTCCTGTATGGCCTTCAGAATGCAAAGGTGAATGGCAAGATCCTACGTGAGGCAGACAGACTCATCAAACACAGATTCAAGTGCATCTTGCATCTAGCGGTCACAACACCTGACCAATTCTTGTATGCGTCATTCAGGGATGGCGGGTTAGGACTAACCCAGTTACGACACGCCATCCCACGGATGATGCATGCAAGAATGGAGAAACTGAGGTTGAGAGGCTATGACCTCAAGCTTAGAAGAGCACTGGAATCTCCGTATATAGCCCACCTTGCCGATAGGCTGAGGAATTTGGCTGGACCGGTACCACCTCGAGACCACTGGCGTGACGTCATTAGGACTTCTCCCTTCAGTAAGGGACTGGAGCAATGTAAAGACGACCCTGCGAGCAAAAATTGGTTACCAATAAGACCTGCAGGGTGGACCGGACGTGACTATGTCCGAGCGGTCCACCTACGCACTAATAACCTTCCGACGGTGGGTATACCATCCAACCCACCGGAACTGCGCAAATGCAGAGGAGGGTGCGACAAAGTGGAAACCATCTGTCACGTCCTTCAAGGATGTCCTGTGACTCACCACCCAAGGATATCCAGACACAATGAAATTGTGGCAAAGGTCGAGACACACTGCAAGCAGCAGGGTTGGGTGGTAGAGAAAGAGCCACATGTCCGACATGCAGACGGCACGCTCTTCAGGCCTGATCTGGTAATCCACCAGCAGGACAAAAGCGTCGTGTGTGACGTCCAGGTGTCATGGGATGGAGATTTGCCCCTTTCTGTTGTGTGGGCAAATAAAAAGGCAGTCTACAACAATGACATGTTCATAGCAGCGGCAGCCAGGAAATGGCCTGAGAAGACTATGACATTTGCGCCGCTAATTCTAGGCGCGCGCGGAGTCTTCCACCGCTGCAACCAACCAACTGTAGAACTGTTGCGGATGCCACAGCCGCTTAAGAACAGCGCAGTACACTCTGTGCTCAAGTGGGGGTCTAGTTTGCATTCATACTTCATGAGGAATGTGACAGGCCAAAACACTTCCCGCCGCGGCTATAACGGAGCGGATCGTGGAAACGCCAATGCCAGAAGGAGGGGTCGCATCCCAACGGAGCCTGCAAACTTACAACGCAGTGCTCCTCAG